GTAATCTGATAAAATAAGTATTTTGTTCAAGTGTGACAATAAATGAAAGATCTTATCCCAAAAAGGTCTTTCAATAAACAAATTGTGGTTTTCATGAAAATGAAACTAAAATTTTTACAAACCATATTTGCAAATATTATCAAAATAAAAGATTTTTAAAGTGCAATCCACTCCTTTTCAGTGCATTAATTGCCATACTCCAACTGCCACTGTCTATCACTTCTCTCTTCCTTTTGCTTTTCCCCATTTTCCTCTTGGTGCCTCAGTTAATATCATCCACCCACTTCTGCATTCTGTATATAACAGTTCCGTGGAGCATAAAGCAAATAATCGGTGTAGAAAATTTACCTTGAGGATTTTTATTAACTAATTATTTGAATCCCTTCAGTCCAATTATTGAAAAACCTAGAATGTTTTCTTACGGCAAAATTTGCATGAAACAAAATTAAAATCATTTTCATAGACTGGTTAGTAACTGTATTACTAAAAGACAATTAAATGAGAAACATCTAAATAAACTCTTTCATTATAGAAAAAATGTAATTATACAAAATTATAAGCAGTGTACTTCTTTGCTATTGTAGAAATATATGGTTACAATTATAAATAAATTCATATAGCATCACGCAAAATTTTACCAAAGATTTTAAAAACAGGCCAGTTGCTGGCACAACGGACAGCACTCTATTCTCACACCTGGGGGGTTTTGATTACCGTCTCTGCTCTGAAGAATGTCAATCAAAACAAGCCACTGTCCAGCTAGCAAAATGTCAATTTCCTGTTAACAGGCATCTAGAGACCAGGATTCACTTCTAACAGACCACTAGGAGCCTGCTTTCATGTCCATAAGAAGCTCCTTTCCCGTTCAGTGGACTTCTTGATGTTGCCAGAACTTCTTTAGCCAATGTTGGGGAAGCAGAGTAGGAGCCAATCACAGGGCTCCAGAGACATTAGGAGCCAAGTTTTGTTTTAAAAGAGAGAGAATCACAGTCACATCAGCCAGAGTCAACAGTCAGGTAAGCAGGACTTTCCCTAAAGACGACCAAGACATGGACTAAGCAGCAGAAAGAAGCTCTGCAGCTGGTTTGTTCTTTCAAAATGCAAAGAACATCCACACTGGTGTCTGAAAGCCAGGAGGAGATACAGACGTTACAATCCTCTGGAGAAAAATCAAGGATTATTTAACCGCTGTGCAGTTATTGAAGAATTTAATCCTGAGCAGGAGGAGGTGAATCATCCAGAAGTATCAGGCGGCTCCTCTGTGGGTTTATTTCACATCGTCATCTTATACCTGAGGAAGAAACAAGCTGCCTGTTAGCACAAGAGCAACGTGAACTACTAACCTCTGCAGAATTCAGCAAATACACCTGTAACACAGACCTGGACATAAATGCAGGATCCACAGTCATTGTCTTATGGGAGCCCATTTTACACTGAACCCAGGGGGCTGGAAATCGATCAGCTTATACATAAAAGGACCTTCTGTTACTTTTCTGAAGTTATTACTAATATTCTGACTTACTTCTGGCGGCTTTGGCACCATATTTTCACCTTCTGGGGGTTGATCCTGCCAAAATGTAGAATGAAATTAATATGAATGTAGTCTGGTCTTATGAAAGACTGCATGAATTTTGCACTACATGAATTTTTCTGAAAAAATATGTGCAGAAAAATTTAGAAATGTAACAAACCTTATTCCGCGCCCGAGTACCTAAAAATACATATTTTCATTAAAAAATGTTCACAATTCAGCTTAGAGTCATTCAAGTTTACTTCATTGTGCAATTAGTACTTCAAATTATTACCCATTTTAGCATTTAAAATTAGAATCTTGAACACTTTCTTCTTCATACTCAATACAGTTTTTATGAATTTTCATATGAACTTATGTAATACTTACAATATAATATTTGTCTTTTATATAACAGGTATGTTGCTGCTGCCATTATGATTACTGCTATTACTCCTACTGATATTCCAGCTGTCAATGCAGTGTCATTTTTCTCTCCACATTCAGAATCAGCTGCTTGGTCTCCTGCTTTAACTGTGACAAGTCCTCTGGATTCACAGCTGTGAAAATAAGCAAGTATAATATGAGAAACGATTGTGACAAAATGTAATACAAACTCATAGGAAAATAAGGTTTCCTTCACCAAAAAAAGATGTTTTCCTGATCAATGACTTATAGGAATTATGAAGAACTTACTCTGTATGTGGTTTGCAATTTGTAAAAGAGCCATCAGAGTACGAATTATCACTGCAGTCTTCACA